CAGCATTTTAGAAGAAGCATCGGGGCAAGCAAAACGCTTCGTTACAAATGTTAGCTACTCTAGCAAAAGGCGCTATAATACTTACTGTATGTATATATACACTTTCAAAAGTCGCTATAATATTTATTGTACGCATTTATATAAGCTCGAAAGTCTCCATATTCTGATAAACTTAGAAAACTGCAAGAAAACTTGGTAGTTTCGGTGCCTAGTGGAAGACGTCCTAGAAAAAATGAGACCAACTTTCATGGAAGAGAGAATGCGAAAAGCTGAAAAAAGCTAGCTATATAAAAGTTACTGTTTCAAAACTCGCTATATTAAATTTTTATATATATAATTTGCAAAAACTACCACTCTGCTATTTTGTTTTTTAATGTTATTAGCCTCTTATTTATCACAATTTTCAGATAATAAAAATAAATATACAATGTGGATGTTACTTGTTGCTGTAGACTTTTTTTTTTAATTTATGGCTTACTATTATAAAATCGTATTACGCTGTTTGCAAGTGGACTACTCATATGTATATATACCTAGAAGGTAGGAAGAGAGACCAAAGTGAAAACAAATATGTACATGGGCTGTTTGATCTTCTAACAAGTATGTATGCACATATATATGTGCAAATTCGCTTGCTATATGTCTGAAAGCACTAAGGTTCGTACGCAAGAATGATAGAATACAAGATTGCGCCAATCGAGCTGAGAGCAACTGGCTGTTACGTCACATTATTTTGAGAATGAGAGTGTATAGAATAATTTTGAAGAAGAGGAAGAAGCGAACAAGTGGTGCGAAATAGTGATGTAAAACTAGGTTGAATTGTACCTACTCTTCAGCTTCTTATATTTTAATTTACATTCGGTACAATCACATTATTTTAGGTACAGTTGGAACGTAGTAAAATATTGTTTCATGTAAGTCCAAAAGTTGTTATGGTACAGATGGAAGATGTAGTCCACCAAGAGACATGCACATAAAAGTACATGTTTACTGTTTACAACTTTTCGGCAAATAGGTACAATATGAATATTTAGTATTCATCACTAGTGCTGAAAAATAGTAAAGTGACGTCAGGGAAAGGGTGGATGCTGTCAAATCGAGAAAGAGACGATTAGCGGTCCGCGGAAGGCGCCACCTTTATTTCGCTGCATGGTGGTTCGTACGTATGTATGTATGTACATATGTATGCACGTATTTATATGTACATATATTTTTGGCGCTGGAGTACTATGTAGTTCAAATGTACAAAGGCAAAGTGGGCTGACCGAAGCAGTATTATTTGATGTGAGTAGGCGATGCGAAACGCGAAATTTTGTTTGCAAATTCCCAGGAGGAAATTTAACTTTCACTTGGCAATTTTTGTGATTTCGTTTTTTACTAGTGAACATATTGTCGCTGCGCCAACAAAACAGTTATGTGATTTTTGTAATTTTTTTTTTTTATTGTATATTTTATATACACTATCTATTGCCCACATTTCTGCATTTGCCGTTTTCTTATATCTCTTTTGGTTTAGAACTAGAAATTACTAGTATCGGAGCTACTGAGTCCCTCATATGCATTATGGGGTCATTTGTGAATTTCATAAGGACCTTCATATGACCGGTCATGTTTCCGGTTTTTAACTCGGAAGTGTTTAGGATTCTCAGTGCCGAGAGACTGGCCTCCCTCTCTATTAGAATTGGGAAGGGCGGTATGCCTACAAGAGCACTAAGTGCATCAGCAGGACAGGTCCGCATAGCCCCTGTTATACCAATGCACACCATTCGGTGTAGTTTGCTTAGTTTTGCGCTAGCAGTTCTTTGTGTCGCTTTTGTCCACCATGCCAAGGATGCATAGGTGACTATCAGCTTCACAACTGTGTTGAATGACCAGTAAGTCATTTTGGGGGAGAGTCCCCATGTCTTCCCGTAAAGTCGCTTGCATGCGAAGAAGGCTCTCATTGCCTTGTTTACGGTTGCATCCAAATGTACATTCCAGGTGAGTGTCTTATCTAGCCACACCCCCAGGTATTTTGCTTCATTTGAGAGCCCTATTCTAGTGCCGCCCAGAGTCAATTCTGTCATGGATAACTTTTTCCTCCGGGTAAACGGAACCAGAATAGATTTAGTAGGATTAATGGATAATCCTTTGGTGTCACACCATCTTTGCGTAATGCGCAGGGCTTGTTGCATGCGGTTGGAGATCGTTTCGTCATGCTGCCCTGTTACACAAATTACCAGATCGTCTGCATATCCTTGTGTTTCAAAGCCATGGTCGTTCAGTAGGAACAGGAGTTCGTCTATAACCATAGTCCACAGAAGAGGAGAGAGTACACCCCCTTGAGGGCAACCTCTTGTGGCTGTAATCGATTCTTTCGTGCCTCCCAGCTCCATCCTGATCTTCCTTGTTTTTAGCATAGAAAGCACCCAATTTATTATGATGGGGCTCACTCCCTTGCGTATCAGGGCATCTCTTATTGCCCTGTATGACGTGTTGTCAAAAGCCCCTGAAATGTCAATGAAGGCACAAAGGGTTATGTTCTTAGACTCCAGAGCCTTTTCGATTTTCGA